ATTAATGTATCTTTTAACACATTTTATAATAAATATATTTGATAATAAATAATTTTATAATATAACCTCTACTTAATCACAATATTATAAAATTACTTATAATGTGATTATATTAAGGTATTCAATATATAGTCACACCTCTATATAAGCACATATTTTACATGTTCCCAACTGCGTGAGTATAAAGAGGTATGACTGTATTACTAATAAAATAGTTACTAAAGCTGTCGTAAAAAAAGTACAAAAAAATAATAATACAATAAAACATCGGATAATTCATTATAATAATCACGAGTAAACTAATTATAATTCTCGTTTAATTTTTTTCGTATTTGACTTGCTTCCATCTTCTAAATTTTCATTTCCATTCGACAGATGGCGCTTTACCAGTTGTCTACTTGCTTCATGAAAGTCATTGTAATGGTGATCGATTCGGCGATAGCCTCCAAGAATTAAAGCATCCTAGAATTTTCGGGAGATAAGTTTAATGCACAATCATAACCATAGAACAGCAAAATTAAAAAAAATATTCTTACCTGCGCGATTTCTAATTCCTCCTTTACGAAGTCCTTCTTGGTAAGAAAGTCGGTTAATTGGGCTACTTTTCTTCTATGGATCTTTTTCATATTTCGTGGTGCCTGTTGCGTCTGATGAAATGATGTTTTTATTAACTGTGGAAATAAATTATATAAAAAATTAAGCATGTGAAGCAGATGTAAGATTGAACTTTTGGAGATGAGGAAGCACCTCTTCTCACGAGAAAACATCTCGCCTCACAAGGACACGCCTTGCACCAAGAGAACACTATAAACTTTAATTAAAAAAACTTTACCGGATGTTAACATTCCAAATCTTGAAATGTTTTCTAACAGGTTTTCAACTTCTTCATCGAATATTGACTTAAAATTCATTTGTATCTTTTTCTTGAACGATTTTTTGGAACGACGTTTGCTAAAGTCAATCGGACTAGTGTTTCAGGCGAAACTATTTTTCAACATCCGAAACGTTTCGCCCAGAGAATTTTTCTATGATCCGAAACTATCCGAAACCTCCGAAACCCTAAATTTGGAAAGATTTTTACAGATCAAATTGGCGAAACTAGTTTCGCCCGAAACACTAAATCGGACACGAAAATCCCTCTAGGGTTAACAAAATACGAACTAGTATATAAATGAGGATCAACCCAATAACTAAGCATACAGCTAGCCTACGAACAAACAGTTCGCCTATAAGCAAACAGCTTGCATAGATAATCGGTCCTTAAGCTATATCTTCCTAATGTCCTAGTGAAACGAATAACATCACCTTAAGTTGATTCTCCAACTGTGCTAGACGTAGTTGTGCGGGGTGATCTTTTGAAAATAATCCCATCAAAGTCTCAATCTCTTTCTTAAACGAATTATGGACGCGAACTTTTTTTACATCATGCAGATATTCTGAAAATTCATGGAGACTCGGCCAGCTATCGTAATGTTTGTTCTAAAGTTCTGTAAGAATGCGAAAGTGAAATCATAAGTAAAAAATATCATAGTAATAAATATGTTTGCAAACCTTACCATAATAGCGAAGGAGTTGAGAGGCATTTTCGGGTAGGTGGGTAACTTTCGGAATACTCCTAGAAGTTGAAATCGATGGTTCATTTGCAAATGACAGATTCACAACAACTTTAGCATTCTCATCCTGAAGAGGGGACGATTGCCGGACTGTTTGTGTGATGGGGAGAAAAAGCAGAGTAAGTTTGAAATATTCGATATTATCAATAAAATATGACGACGAACAAATATCAAAAAGCTAATCTACAGTATATCGGATTTGATATATTTTTTTTATTACAGAGAACTTGACGGCAACGGGTTTTTCCACAATAACTTGAGGTAATGTTTGACAGTAAGAAGCTGGAAGAACACCGGACGTCAAAATTAAAGACCTCAAGTAGGTACATTTCTCGTCGTCCGTGTCCAAATCATCAAGGCATGATAACGCTTCAACTCGCCTATTTTCGTTTCCAGTAAAGTAACTTAAACCTGATTCGCATATGATCGGCAGAATGTTACTATTTAAATTCGGGGGTAAAAATTTCAGGATCGGCAAAATGTACAAACTAAACAAATCTCTTAATGATAACGTAATAGCACAAAAAATACGTGATAAACTTAAAATGCCAAGACAATATCGAAAATAACATTTTGTATAAACAACGTGTAATAAACACCAAAATCTCACGCTGCCATGTCTAATGTAGATGTTATTTTAATAGAAATTGGTTCACTCATAAAAAACCTTTATTTAGACCTTTTTCACACTACTGGTGAGAAGTTTCAAGTATTTTTGACTCAAATACTTTGTTCTTGATTTCCAATTAGAGTAAGTCAAAAGACCAAAACGCGTTTAAATGGACGTGATTTTTATATAACAATACATATTTCCACTTCAAATAAAATGTTACCTGAATATTATTGTCAAAGTGATAATATTTTTGTTACAGAAACAAGTGCAACTAAGGCAACTTCAAAAGCTTATCAAAATATTTTTAAAACTAAAACACAATAATCCAGTCATATTGTTCTTGGATGGAATAATAAAAAAATAATCAATATTCTTTCAATTAATATTGATTTTTATTTACTTTCATGCTGACTTGGTGATTATAAAATATTTATCTACACATTTGGATTGGAATAAAGCAGGCAATAGATATACAGTATATGAAAAAAATAATAAGAATGACATTTTTATTCATCATGTAATGAATATTTATTAAAAATTCACAAAAATTTAAATATAAATGCTTTATTATATTATAAAAAAGTTTAACTAAGCTTAATTAATAATTTATTCTATTATCATTACCCTTAATTATTTACTCATCTAATCTTGATGGCATACTTTCAATTAGATTAATAAAGATCTCTAGCATGATCCCTTCCTATTCTTTACAAATAATATCTTGAAAGATATTTACAGTAATTGATTTTTTGTACTACTAGCTCATTAGCCTTTCTTTTTATATGCCTTTTTAATATGTGCTATAAATTCTCTATAGGATTGATATCAGTACTATTTGATGGTTAGTTTAGCTATTTAGAATAACAATCTAAAAGAAGTTTTTTAATATCCTTAGCCGTATATTTCAGATCGTTGTCCTATTGGAATATTCAATGATAATCCATGATAGAATTTGCATTATCAAAAAGATTTTCATTAAGAATTTTTTAATATAATACACTATCTATAGTCAACTCTTGTTATAACGAACTCTATGTCCTAGACCTCAACTTCACTATAAGGCTATAGTGAAGATTTTAATAGATTTTATTGGCCAATTCGCTATAATAAGAGTATTTTTATTATATTTGTTCAAAAAATTTGTTATATCAAGAGTTCACTATATCAAGAGTTGACTGTATTATTTTAGTAAAAAGAAAAAATCCAATTTAACCTTTTTTTGAAAAAACACCCTACACATAAACTTTATAAGGATGCTTGACCAAATTTTGTCAGTAACTGTGTGCTAGCTTTATAAAATACTTTTTGGGTGTTTTAGAAAATTTGAAGTGTAATTTCATCTGAAAAGATGACTTTATTTCAATTTTGTCTTTGATATTTTATGGCAAATTCAATACAGTATTACTTATGAAAATCTGTAAGTAAGGGAATTGTTTTTGGGACTATACTAATATAATTAAGTCTGTAAAGTTTATTGAGTATAGTTCTTTTACTTATATTAAGGTTAGAACATTTTTTATTTAAAATGTTTGCCAATTCAGAATAGGTAGAAAATTTGTTTACTGAAATAAGTTTTCTAAGGTGATGACATTTTTTAGAAGAAAGTTATTTTGATCTTTCTGAATAAAATAAAGGCTCTAATGGAATATTTTTTTTAAGTTTTTTTATATATTTGTAGATTGTAGAAAGTGAAATAGAGATTAAAGAATGTAAAACTTTAGCATTGTAGATACTATTTTTTCATAATGTAGCTATTATTGTATGACATTATGCAAAAGAACTGTATATTATATTGTTAGTAGTAAATTATAACTAATCATAAATAAACACGTAAACAAAAAATAATTAACATTTATAAGTATATTTATTATATAATCAGGTAAAATTATTTGTTGAATAGATGTTTATTATAGGAATTATTTAAGTTTTTCAACATAAAATTTTTATTCTCATTATTTTTTTAGCGTACTGTAAATCATCAATAATTTTCTCATATAATAAGCATTTAGTTATATTTGTATCTGAAATTAATAATGATAAATGCTATATTAATACTTATCAAGATTTTGAATTTTAAGAAACATTTATAAAAAATACTTCAGATGATGTTTGAAAAAATTCAAGTTATGTTCAAAAATTTTTGGAAAAATAATTATTTAGATTGGAAGATCAGATACATTGTAAATATTATACAAGTTATACATCTTGCAATATACTGTACTATTCTGAAATTAAGTAACCCTTTTTTGCTATAAGGTTGCTTAATTTCAGATACTTTTTCTTTTGTAGAAGAAGAAATAAAAAAATTGCTGCATAATAAACATTTCGGCATTACATTACGCAAAATAATCATCTGTATAATGTAGTGTAATATTACAATCAATAAATCACACAAAATCAATCACGAACTTGTTTTTAAACTTGTTTTAAAACTTAATATGTCATCACAAAAACAAAAAAGACTAATATCTGTTAATAAAAAAACCCTCAAACGAAGTTGCAATTCATATTCTATTGAGCAAAAGAGACAAGTTGTCACTTATGCTAAGGAAAATAGAATAATTAGAGTAGCAAATACTTTTGAACTTAATAAAAGCATAGTTAGTCGCTGAGTTAATTCAAATAAAAAATGGTTTAAAGAACCAAACTAAAACCGCAAATGAATAGGTTCTGGTTAAAAAAGCTTTTATCCAGATGCTGAAAAAAAACTATACAATTGGATTATTGAGTAGAGAAAGTAGGGTTTAGGTGTTACATATGCCATCGCGTGAGTTAAGATGCTAGATATTTTAAAAGAACTTGTTATGATAAGTCTTTATGGATATTCAACAAATGAATTTAAAACATCAAATTGTTGAATGTTTGCATTCATAAAAGATTTAATCTATCTCAACAATGTCAAACTAAAGTTTCGCAAAAGCTTCCATCACAAACTGCTGAGTTATTAGAAAATTTCTATCAGTTCATTATCAACCTTAGAACTGAAAATTCATTTGAGTTATTTAACATTTTAAATATGAACAAAACTTCTATCTAGTTCGACATGGCAGAAAACTTTACAATCAATATTACAGGTAAAAAAACAATTCATATTCGCAGCACTGGCAATAAAAAGAACTGATTCACAGTTGTCTTGATATGTGCCACAGGTAAAGTTCCATTTAACAGTTTTTTTTTCTTTTAGCTTTATTTTTATCTAATTTTTATCCTGTAGATGGTACAAAATTTCCGTTAATTTGCATCTTTAAAGGTAAATGACTATCACATAGTGAACAGATTCCATCCAGTATTATTGTTTGATTTTAAAAGAACAGATGGATAGATACCGATTTAATGAAGAAATATATTGATTACATTAATGATAATCTAACAATTAATAATGCTTCAACAATGATGGTATACAATTCTTTCTGAGAACATCTTGAAGATTCAGTTAAAATCAGGTTTCGTAACAATGGTATCAATTTAGCGGTTATTCTGGATAGTTTAATTAGCATATGTCAACCACTTGATGTAACAATTAATAAGCCATTTAAAGACAATCTTTGTAAGGAATGATATATCTGAATGGCAAGAGGTAGTGCAGGAGTAACCACATCAGAAAACCTTCATTGTGCTAGGTTATCTAATATTTGTAGGTGGGTTAAATATGCTTGGAAAGGAATTCCAAATGAAATGGTTATAAAGTCTTTCAAGACTTGCAAGATTTTGACTTCTTTGGGTATATCAGATGATGATAATGAAGATTCTAGTGATGATATTATTGGTGGTAATGATGGTGATGATGATGATGATGGTGGTGATGACGATAATGATGATAGTGATGATGGCAATAGTAATAACAATGAATAATATTACTAATTACTGTAATTTAGACTAATTAATATTTTATAATAAAAATATATTATTAATAAATTTAATGCTATTTTTAATATTTATTATATTTAATTATTATGTTTAATTACAGAAATTTATGGGTTGCTTATTTTTAGATTATACTAATTGATGGATTGCTTATTTTCGAAGGTTGCTTAATTTCAGAATGGTATGGTATTTTAAAATTTTTCTATATGATTTAGATTTAAAATTTATAGTATCTAATATAAAATTAGTAAAACAAATTATTTATCGTATATATAATTATATATATCTCTTAATTATTCAATATATTCAAATTATATAATCTCAGTCAATTTAACTATTAATCTTTAGATTACTCAAAATTAACAAGACTATATTAAAATACATGTTACTTTTTAAATAATTATATGAGCTTATTTTTACAATTACTTACATTTAATATCTATATTGCAGATCATATTAATAATATTTTATTTAAATTATTAGATTTATAAATATTAAAAGAAAAGATTATATAATTATTATAAATAATAGTACTAATATGAAAAGATAATTAAAGATATAAGTAAAATTTCTTATAATATTATCTGGAAGTCCTATACTATTTATACTTTACAACTTATTATAGAAAAAATTTACATGTATAAATTACTTGTATTAAAAACTAAATGATTAAATGATTTTTTTATGAGATTTAAATAATTAAAAAGACTAGAAAATATTCAAATAAATATTAAAAACTATGTATTATAGCATGTTTCAAAAAAATAATTATTTTTTTAATAAATAAAAGTATATTAATCTAATTTTTTTAGAATCTTAGAAAAATAAATACATACTTATGATATTGCATTACAGATATTCAAACTCATTAAACTCATTGAAATTTAAATTTTTAGTTTAAAAAAGATCAAATAATACATTAATATTTTAGAAATTATGTTATCAATTATTAATAATACTAATTCAAAAAAAGATAATCAACAGCTATCTGAAATTATGTTAACTAAAAATAAATAAAAGCTAATAATAAAATTATATAAAGTTTTGAAAAGATTTGTTAAAGTTACAATTTATTTAAATGCTAATAAATATATAACTCAGAATATTATTCCTTAAAGCGTAAGTATAAATTAGCTATAAAACATTGTAGAAAAATTATAATATTTTAATATCTAGTAATTAT